GCCTTGAATTTTATTTGTTTTAAGGTCGTATTCAATTTTTTGTTTTGAATATTATCTAACGATTCTGATAGGCGATATTCTTTTAGGATGTTTTTAGTTGAACTGTAACTTGCTGGTCTGGTCTAATCTGATCTGGTCTGAACTGGTCAGATCTGATTTCTTTGTATTTTGATAACTATCCAAGTTCGATCTGGTCTAGTCTGGAACAAATTACCCTCCACTTAAAAACTTCCTTACTCTACAAACGCTGCTATTAGCTGCGATTTTCATCCAGTAGAGAAAAGCCAATGCCAGATTTAAATAGGTCACCATATCAAAAGTTTGAATAGAAATGAAAAGTTAGTTATTTCCGCTCGTCCGTCGATACGATTTTCCCCCTTTTCACCAGCAATTCCCGAGGACCATAGCCGAGAGAGATACTGCTGAAAACGAGAAGAAGTCCCCAATCCAACCGATTTTCGGTACGAAACAGATCTCTTCTTCTCACTGCTCATCTCTATTCCAAAGTCTTTGATCTTTATTCACGTAGTATATACATATTGGTAGAGACTAGCTATGCATGCGGAAACAGTACCAGTCTCTGGGCTGGAAATAAACATAAGTTTTGGCTATAGACGCGATTCTCTTGATGAGATTGGAAATACTGAAATTCCCCGCGGGATCAAGCTTCGAAGAGCCCGTGATTCCTTTTCCTGTCTTTCTGGAGCCGCTTTGAGTGCTAATTCCACTTTGGTTAACACAAACATCTGCAATGGATTGATGGGGACAGAGATCCTGCCGGCATTGGATTCCCCCAAATCCTTCAGATGCATACCTTCTTCAAGATCTTTCTCCAGTTTGTTGTCGTCGTCCTTGCCGAGCAGCTTTTCGAACCTCAGCCTTAATTCATCATCGCCTGACTCCAGTAATGACAGTTTCTTGAGTTCAGCAGATGTGCAAGTTGCAGGCGGTGCTGCTGGGGAAGATAGAGTCCAGGCCGTTTTTTCGGAAGAGGATGGTTGGCTTTTCTGCGGCATTTATGACGGGTTTAATGGAAGAGACGCTGCCGATTTTCTAGCTGGAACATTGTATGAAAAAGTGAGGGATAGCTTGAACGTATTGGATTTTGAACTTGAGGAGTCTGTGGATGGAACCCTAGATAAACAATCAATTGGACATTTCTCCATGGAATTGGATGAACCAGTTGACTTATTTAAGAACAAGGTTTTGAATAGCCTTCAGAATGCTCTTATTCAAGCCGAGAATGATTTCCTATATGTGGTTGAACAAGAAATGGAGAACCGTCCTTACCTAGCATCTGTAGGATGTTGTGTATTATCCATTCTTCTACATGGGAATAGTATGTATGTGCTGAATCTAGGTGACAGTAGAGCAGTATTGGCTACATATGATGAATCTGCTGATAGAAATGTACCACAAGCTGTCCAGCTCACATCAACCCATACAGTTGATGATGAGTATGAGAGAACCCAATTATTAAATGATCATCCTGATGATCACTTACCTGTAGTTGCAGGAAAGGTTAAGGGAAAACTAAAAGTTACTCGGGCTCTTGGTGTTGGTTATTTGAAAAAGGTACTCATTCATCCTTCTTTTTTTGAGAAAGAAAGTTTGTGTTTTTACTTTTTTTTAATACAATGATTGCGTTTTAAGTAGAAATAATTTAATACTCTAATGTTCTGATCTATATCGGCCAGGGAAGTATATTGTGTGCGGATATCATTAAGGACATATATCAACATGTTAACAACTCTGGATATCATCAAGGACATATATCAACATGTTAACAACTCTGTTTTACTTTTGCAGAAAATCATGAATGATGCTTTGATGGGCATTCTTAAAGTCCAAAATTTGATTAGTCCTCCGTACATATCTGCACAACCATCTTTGGTTGCTCATGAAATTTCAAGTGCTGACCACTTTGTTATACTTGGAAGTGACGGTTTGTTTGACTTCTTCACCAATGACGAACTTGTCAAACTTGTTCATTCTTACTTACTAAGTAACCTTTCTGGTGATCCTGCGAAGTTTTTGGTGGAACAACTTGTAATGAGAGCAGCAGATTGTGCAGGCATGATATTTAAGTCTTATTTTCTTCGCTCAGCTAAGTTAGTACATGTTTGAACACCAAATTTGCGTTTTTTGTTAAAAAAACTCTTTCAACCTCTATAAATATACTGTATTATTTTCAACACTTATCTTGCAAAATTTTGAACAACTACTTTTAGCTTTGAACTACAATCACCCGAGACAGGCACTTACTATTTTAAAAAGATTATAATGAAATTGAATGATATATGTTCTTTATAGAATCTGGCTGTTCAATAACTTCTATTCCAGCAGGTATCAGCATGGAAGAGATGATGAGCATCCCGGATGGTATGAGAAGGAAATATCATGATGATGTGACGGTAATTGTAATAATTCTGGGAATGGTTCAGCGCATATCAAAGGCCTCAACACAGATCTAAATGTGAAAAAGCCAAAGTACCAAATAAAAGATTAGTCATTTAGTAGTTTCACATTTGTGAACAGTTCTTTTTATTGCATTGGTCCAATTTTGTTATTCATTTTCTGGTATTTGATGCTCCTTATGTACATAGTATAAACAGTTTGCTTCCACATTGCTAGACAACGTTGTCATTTTCGTAATTCTTTGATATGTCGTTAATGTGGTTGCTTATTTCTTTCACGTTCTCCATATCCTCGTACAATAGGGACAGAAATGATGAATCTTTTACACGGATTGATATATGACAGAAAAGTTGAGTTGTAGGAAAAGTCTTTATTCATGATAATAGTCTACTCAATTAAGTCTTGCTTTGTTATAAGAATCTCATTCTGGGTATCACCACTGGTTCTAGAGGGCCATATCATGTTATTTCATGATTCTCCCCCTAATTGATTCCCCTTCACGAATTCTAGCATCTTGACCCATTTTGCTCTTTGAAAAATTGTTGAATTACTTAAAACAATAAGCTAACTATGACTTTATGCTATTGTTTACCATTGCTGTTAAAACGGGTAATTGTTGCTCCAACTTGTTGTATTGGAGACGTAAATACCTATTATTATTGACTTATTGTGTTTGATTAAAGTGATTCTGAGAGTAATATAGCAATATTAATCAATGTGTAAAATTTTATTTGAATGAAGTCTTCTTTCTATGTTTCAGTTTTGAGATTATTCATGATACATTAATCAATTAAATTCGTAGAAAAATGGCCAATGATGCACAAGGCGTGGACCAAGCTTGTACAACTATAGACACTTAACATTACCGGACATATCATCATCCACCCTATACATTCTTCAACACTTCTTCAAACCCGTTTATCTTACTTAAATCCCCCCGCAGCCGGAACCTGAGAACCATGGAGGTTTTTGAGGATGCCTGCAACTCTGCAAGGACCATATGCAGTATGCATTGTGGGAGCACTAGAGATTTTGGAAGACCAGGCATCCAAGCTTTTGCAATACCCCATGCTCTAAACGATCCGAAAAACTATGTTGAAAGCAGAAACAGTACTACGATAATAACACACAGACCATTGCCATCCATCGCCAACATTCACAAACCACTGAGTCCAGGAAGATTTGTTAAGACCAAGGTTTCCAACCTAAATTGACAAGGTCTGGTCATTTGCTTGTTACAATCATAGTCATTTTAGGCGTACCAGATAAGCTAGTTTGGTGATATATTTAGGTAGGAAATTTATCTTAAGTATAACTAGTTGGACTTTTTTTATACAAGGTTTCAGTCCGTTATTACACTAGTCGACAAATGGTAACCGATACACTAACATTGGAAAAGAGACCTTCACAAGTCAGTAAGTCACAACGATGCCACATAATCGTGGGCTTTTTCGTTGATATTATGGAGTACTATATCGAAGTCATGTGTCATTATCAGATTTTTGTGTCACTTTTATAAGTCACTGTGACCTCCGAAAAATTTTACGGTAATTTTTCAGTAAACTATGACCTCCACGGCTGGCTAGTGACCATCCAACATCGCAACCCGCCACCCCCGCCGACACCGTCATCCCACCGTAGACTATCCATTGCTCTTGCCCCTCCCAACCCCATGCTAGCCAAATCCAATGACCACCATCTGACCTTGTGCCCGACGACGCCCCGCTCTTGTGCCCTCCCTAACCCCTTACCACAACCCCAGCACCCTTCTCAGTGGCCAGCTACCTCTTCAGTCCACCTTTCCAACCCTAGCTTCTTTCCCAACTATCGCCCCAGTCCTAGCCGTTTAGATTTAGTTGTGTCTTCGCTCCCCTGCCTTCATATCGCTGCATGCTGTCATCGCCAAATCAGGTCTCGAATTAATGTCTCACCTTGCCTACCGTCACCGGCATCGCCTCAACCACTAGTCTGCAACCCTACCCGCGCTCTTCGCCTTGTCCTGTCCCTGTCCGAGGACCTTCAAAGCTCAATGTAATATTTGAGATTAAAATTAATTTGAAAAGGACTTGTAGTACTACCAAGTACCAATATCAACAAGGTGCATCTACTTTTAAGGGCCCTTGTCAGCAAAGAACTCCAAGTCAAACATGCTTTCGCGGGAATCCTGGGATGGATGATCTCATGAGAAGTTTCTCAGGATCCGCACGAGTGAAAAAAGCGTGTGATAAAGACGTGTATTAACTTAGGATTTAATGCACCAAACCCCCTCGTGAAATATAAATTCGGCGAATTAGCCCCCTGTGATTTAAAAAATGTGTCAAACCCCATGCGTTATAATTAATGTGTTATAATTAATCATGAGCAAAAATCCCTCCAAGAATAAATTTTACAATTTTGAAATCACTTTTTTTAATAATAAATTTTACAATTTTGAAATCACTTTTTTTAATAATATGGTTGAATATGCAAGTAACTTTGTCAAAATTTCTAAATTATCCAAAAAAAACTAACCATTTCTTCTTTTTAAAACCCAATTAGTGATAAACAAAGATAATAATTAATATGCCTAAAAATCATATACAATAAAGCCAAAAAGAACCAAGAAAAAAATCTTTGAGTTCATATTTGCAATTTTGTAGATGCGAAGTTGCAAACTTTATTTATTCCCCGCAGTTCTTTCATCTTTGTATCCAAAGTAGGAGTAAATGAATAACAGTTGATTGCAAAAAAATACCACTATTACTAGGGTTTGATACATTCCCCCACACCACTTCACGAATGTTGCAAAGTTCCTCTGTATTGAATTGCGCCACTTCCAAATGTGCTCATTCAATTCCCATCATCAAATCGCGATCCCAAACGAGGCCTAAACTTGGTCTATGATCAAAACGTACTTAACCAGATTTAAATTGCATAATGATGGTCGGTGGTCACATAACATAGCAGGCATTTGGATTCTCATCGCTCAAAATCTCAAAAGAATCCAACGGCCTGCATCGCATCGCGTGGACCTCTGCCGGCGTGTACGGTGCCGGTACCGGTGGCGGCGGGTAGTAGTACGCCGGACCGCAGTTTCCGTACGCCGGACCACCGGTTCCGCCCGCCGGGTGCGCCGCCGCAGCGCTGTAATTTACGACGTAACCCTGTTGGGGCGCATAATAATAGCTCGGTGGGCATTGGTTCGGATACGGACGGCCCATATTCCCTTGATCCAAACCCACATAATGGGGGCCCATCCCCACCATCGACGGTTCGTTTCCGGCGTTCGCAGGTGCACCTTCACCACCCGGTCCTCCCGCCGCCGCCGCGTTCTGAGCTCTCTTTTTCTTCTTCTTCTTTTTCTTCCTTTTGGCACCCTTATCCGCACCTTCTCCGGCGGCGTGTGCATTTCCCGGCGGCGGAAGGACGTCAAACTTAACGACCGGCTTCTGAATGCTCTGTTTCATCTTACTCTCTGCTGCTACCGGCGGCTTGTGATCTTCTTCCTCTTCATCATAATCTTCTTCCTCATCGTCATAATCATCATCATCGTCGCTTTTTTTCTTATCTTTCTTTCCCTTAGATTTCTTTTCTTTTTCCGGCGGCGGCCAAATCTCTGCGTTCTTCCCGGACTTGTGAAGCTTCTTGATCAAGGCCTCTGCTTCAACGTTGCCAGTAACCATCACTTTGTGTTGCTTTTCATCAATATCTATGATGTAAACTCCTGGTATGCCGGAAAAAAAAAGAGTTAAACAATCAGATACTCTTATCAGTTCATGAAAGACAACAAGATCACAAAAACATGAAAATAATTGAATAGAAATCAATAAAGGTTGAAGCTTTAACTACCGTCTACACTTTGTAAGATCTTCTTGACTTTCTTTTTGCATGCTTGACAGTGGATTGGAACTTTCAGAGCCCATGTCTGCAAAAAAGCAAAAAAAAAAAACAGAGGGTTGAAATGAAGATAATGAAGAAAGGGTGGATTTTTACATATATAATGCATATATACCTTGTAAGGTAGGGGACTTGGTGGGGGTGATTGTTCTTCAGGGGGTGGGGGCTGTTCTGTGGAGGCCATGGATGAATAGAAGAGAGCAGAGGAATATGATCAGATGGATGGTGAGATGAGAGGTTTGACAAAGTACAAATTGAGAAGATTGAGCAGTTTTAGGTATGGCGGTGATGGAAGCTGGTGGTGGCCATGTCTGACTATGTATGGATGTTAGAGCATCTTCAAACTAACATGCACAATGAACACCTGGCATTTTAGTTCAAATTCATTTGAGAATTAAAGATTAGTAATATGGGCTATTTTTAGATGATTTGTATTTGTCACAAATAATTTTTATAAATGAATATTACTATTTCCATCTCACTTGCATTGAGATATGAAGAGGTGGTATGGTTAGTAAGAAAAGCAAAATTATATGATTAATATTGAGTCAACAAATTAAAAATTAAGTAAGAATTATTTAAAACACATAAACTTTATCAATTTTGATTTGAGATAATCTTAATGAATCTATTTTATCGGGATAGCGAGATTAGAGGAATTTAGGGGGTGTTTGGATCTAGTTCTAAAACTGTTTCTGCTCCTTCAGAGAGGAAAAAGTTGGAGTGTTTGGATAAGAGTGTAGAAGTGATTCTTATGCTCTACTTTACTCCTAAAATCAGTTTTTCTAGAAACTGAGGGAGACCAGCTTCTGAAAACTGATTCTGATTCTGTTTCTACTTCAAAGAAAAAGTGGAAGCAGAATCGGTTTCAAACATCCCTTAGAGAGTTTCTTATTAATATTTATGTGTCGAATTAAAGAGATCATAGTCTAATTAATAGTCTAATTAATATTCAGATGGCTCATCAACACAAAAATTAGATAAGTAAAGATTGGTGAACTCCGATATTTGTGTTGATTTTTTATATATATATTTTTTTTTTCTTGCGACAAAATAAGAAAGAAATTGTATGTTACAAACTAGATAAGTAAAGATTGTGTTTACATAATCTAGACAAACACTTCAGCCTTCACTCTTCAACATTTACGATGTATAATGTCGTTAATTAAAATGTAACTTTTGATCTCGCCTAAATTTTTGTTAAATGATTTGGAAAGTATTTTGTTTGTTTGATTAAAATTCAAATGAAAAGGGGAATAAACATTTTTTAAAAGTAGTGCGAAGAGAATATCACCACCCTCCCGCCCTTGAGTATGTCCATGAAACTTGATAGTTACAACTCTCTTGCCTAATGGGTTGAAAGATGCTTTGGATATAACTATAAAAAAATTATTCCAGGGAATAATTTCCAATTAATATCATAGAATAGGCTTATCAGAAGGCGATAGGAATAATTCTTTCCGTTAGGATCGTGACATAAGCTCTACAACATGCTGAGTGGACATACTTTCAATAGGGCACATACACGATTCTCAGTTGACAAAGCCATAGCTCGAATGGACATACATAAATACATACATATGGAAGAATAAAAGTGGTGTAAAACACAACAGTGACCACAACACCGTCTACTTTGCTGTCTCATTAACGTTCTGTTCAGACGGATCCTCGGCCTTCTTTCCATTGTTCTCAGTTTTTGCACCACCTTCAGCTTCTTTGACTTCATCAACATCCTGAAGCTGCACCAAATTGATTTCACAATAAACTGTGTCATGAATTTGATAGATATTGGGCGCTGAACCCTATCATAGTTGGGGTTAAGGACATGGCTATAAATTTGAGCACATAAAATGGCTAAAGGCATACCGAATTACCGAGAGGTCAACTACAGGCTTGTTTGATTGGGGAAGTCTAGATTGGGGGGGTTGATTTTTTTTTTACTAATTTATTGTATCTTTTACTCTCAAGCATCAAGTATGAAAGCATCTACTCTTATTATTCCAAATAAAGAGTGATGTTTGGTCATTGTACAGCATTCTAATATTGGCAGCAGCTTAAAGAGTATGAAATCATATTTCTCTTTCAAAAATTAATTTCTAGATTTAACTATGTGCGTCATTAAAACTTGTTTTTAAAGTTTTTTGAAACATCATTGAAAAGTACATGAAAAATTGGCATCTTACCATAAATACCGTAAAAGAAAGTATAAAAGGGCAGCCTGGAACATGGCCACCACAAGGGTGTATAGGGGGCAATCTTTCTTTATCATTTTGACAAGACCCAGCTTCCAAAACTAGAATATGTGGCCTCTTGGTCACACAACACCTTAAATGGTGCGCCAAGGCTTGCCTTCTATAAAAAAACAAGTTACCCAGACATTCTATTGCGCAGAGGCATTATTAGTACAGTTTAATATTGTATCTTTAATTCTTTATCTTGCTTTTCTTATTCACTTTCTTTCTGGCTATACAAGTGTAAGAAAAAATTACGGAGTATTAAAATGAATAACACCTCCTACCCTTCCCTTCCCTGAAATCCCCCAACAAAAGACGGCCTAACTAAATGATGTCAGTGCAAACAAAGTCAGTAAGTGAAAAGACAGCTTACCCCCAGGTTTCTTAGGCTGGCAGTAACATCGTCCTGCTGCTGCTGAAGGGTACTTTTCAACAGTTGAAAATCCTAGTTGAAAGAATGAAATTAGTACATAGGCAAAACTGTTGGGGATTAAGGGAGAGAAAAAAAACTAGGTATACACGTTTTTGCACACTTTTTGTGTACACCCCCTATTTTCATGTGTACATAAACAGCTTGTTTAAAAAAGTCAGAAGTTGTATGTGTACACACACGAGTGTACAAAAAGTGGACACACATGATACGGATATAATAAACAACTATACGAGCTTCTTGGGAGTTGGGAATAAATTATTCAGCCCTTACAGATCGAAGTTGATCCACCTCCCCATTCAGTGATTTTTTAAGATCCGAAAGCTCCTGTGAAATTCAAAGAACAAACTCTGTAGGCAACATATATAAGATAAATGACAGAATGGAATAAAATAGACGTCATCACATCAAATTTTATTTAAGTAACCAATTTCACATCAAAATAAACTATGTTTGATTCTTCACTTTTATCTTTTAAAGAGAACATAAATAGAACAAGCAACTACTTTGCTAGCAAGAAGCAGAGCATTGATTTTTCTACACGAATTGACAAAACTTTGAAACCATAGCATGATAGCAGTCAGTATTTATGATGCAAATAATTACAATATACCCAATAATAATATGCATTCAAGCAAAAATATTATGTCAAAAGCATGTCAACATCCAAGCCTTGGTCATAATTATATACCCAATAATAATACAAGAGGATGTAATTCACAGAACTGTCACTGGAAAAGTATACATAACCTACAACTTTATACACACATTATTGAATGAATATATTGGTTGAGAAGCTTACATCTCGGTAGACTTTAACTTGAGTGTCCAACTTGGATCTCCAACTTTGCAAATCCTAGGGTAAAAAGAATAGTCACATTTAGGTCCAGAAAGTTTAACCAAATCATTGACTGTACGAAAATACACATACACACGCAAGTAAAGAGGCTACCTGTTTCAAATTCTGAATTCTACTGATAAGCTCTTGCCTTGATTCGCTTAATTCCTACAATGAAATAAAAAAGTAAAGAATCAAGCAAATTTCCATCGAAACAGGTTTGAAACCCAAACACGTTATCCAGCCACATTGTGTGCGCAACCACTCCAGGTATGGAAACTTACAGCAATCTTGGTACTAACAGGAACCGCATCCTCTTTCTTCTGTTAAACCAAACACAAAACACCAGAATCTATCAGATTGTACTTCACAATGAAGTAGGGGGCGAATTTTCAATTTAAAAAAAAAAACAAAATTTAGTACAACTTCAGGATAAACGCGAAAAAAATTGAATGTTGGGAAAATGCTCGCATTTTATGCTTTGGAGATCGAAACCAAGTGCACATCTAACCGAAGATGCGATTGCATACCTCTAGAAGAGGAGACGCTGGGGCGGAAGGAACGGAGGCGGTGGAATCGGCGGTAGCCATCGGAAATGCGCGAGCTAACTCTGGTACTGAAGGAAATTAAAGAAGCTAAGTTGGCAGAAGATGACAGTGGAGTAGTCGGTACGAGAATGAGGATGAGATTAAGGAAATTCAAATTTTTGGCAAGTAGTTGTGATTGAGCGGGCGTGTATTTAGGGTTTGTGGATTTTAAATTTTCAAGTTTTGAGTTTATCTGCTTACTTCAATTAACGTATTTGAGCTGTCGGTAGTCTGCAGCAAACACCTATTTGCCCCCTCTCAAACTTTCCACTAAATACCCTAAAATAAGGGTAGCGGATTATATTAACGAATTATTAATAGTGGATTCTAATTATAGTGAAGATATCTAAATCTTAAATCTAAAGATAGATACTAAGATAAATACGCATTGAGCGTGTTATTGGAGAAAAAGATCAATATATTGTTTATGTAGCTTACCCTTTAGACCTTTTTGAAGAAGGTTCTGTTACGAATATGTTTACTTCGATCTAGGGCATCCATTCAATCAGCGAGTTTGACTAGCGAAGTAATTTAATTGTTTGACTATAAAATTAGTAGAAAATAACATGTTTCAAAACGCTAACTTAAGACTCTTATATTTGCAGCGTTTTCATTTCATCGTTTCTTTTAAAAAATGCTAGAGACGAACATCTATTAACCAAACAACTTTTTCACTTATTGAAAATGCTAAAAGTGATCAACCCGCCATTGTTCGATTGAAAATGCTAAAAATGCGTATATCATTTAAATCAGAGAGGTAATATCACTCAGTTGGCTAACGGAATATGAATATGGCAAAAAAAGTCATGTCATTTGTTTACTGAATCATTAGGACATTTGAAACCCAAAATTTTACTATGTCTAAATTTGTATATGAGACTGTTTATTTTGTATGCTAAATAAAGAGTCTTAATTGAATAACATAATCAATTTATTATTATTCTTGGGCTATAACGTCAATGAAAACTTTCATTTATTAACATAAATTTATCCCACAGTCGATTTTAAAAGTTTAGCAAAACAAGACGTCTTATATGATATTATTTATTTTGTGTGTTGAATAAACAGTCTTAGAGGCTGTTTGATAGCATGAAAATCGGTTGTTTTGGCTGATTCTGCTGAAATTTATGAAGTTCTGGTTGAAGTGGCTGCATTGGCTGATTCTGCTGATGTAAAAAAATGATTTTTAAAATACATTTTATTAATAAAATAAAGAAAAAATTATATGTAAAAATAGCTAAAATGGTTATCTACAGTAACTTCAACCAATACAGCCAGAAAAGTAATTTCAACCTTACTTTTTCTGCTTATTACACAATT